AGATTACAAAGATTATTTTTAACTTTTAGTTTTGTCTAATATACTTTTATTATTATTTTTAAATTATATCTAGTAATTTTTTGATAAATTAAAAATGTAAAACTAAAAAAATTAAGTGTTGAATTTTAAATTTTAAAAAACTAAATACTAAATTCTTACTATAAAAATCATTTGATATTTTATTAAAAATTAAAAAATAAATAGATGCATTGTTGATTTATTATTAAATATTCATCTTAATAAAATTTAGAAAAGAAAATTAAATATTAAAATAAAAATAATATAAAATAAATGTAATTAAATGATAAATTATTCCTTTCTCAAATAAGAATAATTAAAATCATTCATTAACTTATAACTACTTAAAATTTTCAAAACATTTTTCATTGAAAATCTTTTATGTAAGTTTTTTTAAATGACTTATCAATTTTATTGAAAAAAATTGAATCATTAAAATTTTTTATAATTTACATACACCTTTTTGGAAATAACAAAAGAATCAATAATTAGTGTGCAAAAGTTAACCGTAACTTCAAAGTCATTCTGAAAAATTATATTTAATTAACTTAGATAATAAAAAATTAGCTACTTTAAGCTATATACATAAACAATCTAATTTAAAAAATTAAATGAATTTAAGTGTCTAATCATGAATTATGTATCAATTTTATCATTTAATCATTTCAAATATATATATATATATATATATATATATATATTAGAGTGAAGCTCGCATTCCACTGCGAATTCTTTTTTCATTTAAAATTATTAATATAAAAAGAAATGAATATGTTATTAATAAGTAATATAGAGAATTATATGTGGTTTTAAAATAAGTTTTTGAGCTAAACGTGGACAATCAACTATTTAAATTTTGTTATGAAAATTGGTGTGGTGGGTCCTAATAATTTTGAGTTTTTTTTTTTATATATATATAGTTTTTAACGTTATGAGTTTGAAATTTTATTAATAATCCTTAAATTATTTTTAATACCAAAGGTAATTTGGTTTTAAATTTAAAAAAAAAAGGATAGTTTTAATTGTATGTATAGACATGTGAAAGAAATATAAAAGACAAAATATTTAACTAAAATGTAACTATTTAAAAATAAATGACTAATATTAATATTTTTGATATATTAGTTGGATTAGGGATAAAATCTACCTCTTTAGTAAATGAATCTCTAAAGAGATTATGTTGTAACATCTGTCTAAAATGATTAGTTTACCTTTTTTAACATTATAAAATAATTATTTTATTTTTTAGCCAAAATAAAATAAGCTTCAATAGAAATAATAAAAATTTAAATATATATTAAAAGAATTTTACAAAGTAATTATATTCTAACACCTTGACACTTGTTTAATATTATAAAATGATCATTTTGTCCTTTAATCAAAATAAAATGACTTAAAATATAAATAATAAAAAAATTCAAAATATATTAAAAGAATTTTGATTGGGTTATATTTTGAAACCTATTTAATATTATGAAATAATCATTCACACTTTCTAATATTATAAAATGATTATTTTATCTTTTAATCAAAATAAATAACCTAAAACGTAAATAATAAAAAAAATTAAAATTTAAAAAAATTTAAAAAATTAGATTTAAATTTTTAAGTAAAAACTTGTATTTGAATTTAACAATTTTAAAATAACACCAAACAATGAGGTGATGAAAAAAAATTATCCTGCAAGAAACCACAGATTAAGTACTAATATCAATAATAACAAGTTATATGATCATGTAAATGATGACATGGCATAGATGTGGTAATAATATTCCATTTATGGAATAAAGATGGAAAGTATCCTATTAAAGAATAAAGATTTTAATTAACCTTATTATCAAAAACCACCATAAAAAAACTCTGTTTGATAATTAATTTTGTTATCTACAACATAAATTCAAGTTTTATAAACAAATATGATCCTACTACTACTACAACTAATAATAATAATAATAATAATAATCTATTAAGTAATAAAAATTAAAAAGGTTTTGACTTGGTGAAATTTAATTTGATGGATTTTTAAACTCAAAGATAGTTAAATTATTAAACATGCTATGCTATATGTCATGATTCTAGAGAGTAATCATGAATCTTATATCAATTGTGTATTAGAACCGATCTTAGGATATAAGTGTTTATAATACCTTCAACTTGTGAAATGTTTTTTGTGAGATAAAACTGTAAAATTTAATAGGTCAAAGAAAATAATATCTCACAAATTGGTGTGGACCATAACATTTATTAAAAAATGATTCTAAGAGTATTAGTATATATCATCGAGGATGATAAAGCCTCATTAGAGCGAAGGAAGATGTCATTATCCTAGAGAGGAGCTATAAATCTCACATTAATTATGCATTTGAGTTAGTCTTGAGATATAAGTATTTAAACCACTTTAACTTATAAGACACTTTTTGTAAGATAAAATCATGAAACTTAATAATTCGAAACAGATAATACCTCACAGTTGGTGTGGATGATGACATTGTACATGTGGAGCTAATGATGAAAGGGGAAATTTGAATAAAAAATTATTATTAGAATCATATATATATATATACACACACACATACACTAGGTGGGATATTAGTATATTGTCATAGATAAAATTTTTTTATTTTGTTATCCTTATTCATCGATATTTTTTATAAAATTGACCTAATTAAAAGAATAAACAAAAGGTGAAAAGCAAAAAAAAAAAAAAACAAAAAGAAATGTGGATGATACATGGATATCTCAACCAACATTACATTCTTACAAATTTTATTTAATAGAAAATTTTAAAAAATAAAAAAGACAAAACAAAAAAAGAAAAAAAATTAAAAATGAAAAAAGAAACTCATAATAAGTGTCACATGGACAACTTTATTGAGTTTAAAATATTAATTTCTTAAATTAAGTTTAAAAATATGTGTAATTAAATTAATAATTAAATATATACTTTCATATATACCTCAAAATAAGATAAGTCAAATCATTCTAAACATAGTTTCGTCCTAATCTCATTTTTCATAAAAAATTCGATATATTTAAATTCGATCTTGATTTTTAAAAATAAAAGAAAAAAATTTTCAATTGGTTTTTTAACAAAATCATTTAATTTAAAAATTAAAAAAGTTGACAAAAAGAAATAAAAAAGGAAAGAAATATAACATGTCACATTAACTCATTGAATAAGGGTCAAATAAAAGTAAAAACAAGTAAAATTTATAAAATTGGTGGATGAATGCATGGATTATAATTTAATCATTTATAAATGTAGTATTTTTATCCTTAAAAAAGTTAAAAAAAAGGCCTAGTATAAAGCGGATCCTTTTTTTTTTTAAATAAAATCTATAAAAATATTTATTGAATATTAAAAACTTTTGATAGAAAAAAGGAAAAAATAGTAATGTGACTTAAATTTTGGTCATTTAAATTTTGGTCATGTATTAAATGACCAAAATTTAAGATATTTACTAAATATTAAAAAATTTGTCAAAAAAAAAGCCAAAAAGGGTGACATGGCTTAAATTTTAGTTATGTGTTGTTCATCTGTACATAATCAAAATTTAAGTGTTGGATTTGGTGGATTGCCTATGCGTTGCCAGGTCAAATTTTTTTTATTATTTTGCTATCTTTATTTATTGATTTTTTGTTATAAAATTTATTTAATTAAAAAAAACAAAAAGTGACAAAAAAATAAAAACAAATGGAGATGTGCGTGAATATCTTATTCAACCTCATATTCTTACAAAATTTATTTAAGCGAAAATTTTAAAAAGTAAAATATAAAAAGTAAAAAGACAAAAATGAAAAAAATAAAAAATAAAAAAAGTTTAAAAATTGAAGAAGAAACTTATAAGAATACCACATGGACATTCTATTAAGTTTAAAATTTTAATTTCTTAAATTGAGTTATATATATATTAATATAAATTAATAATAAAAAAAATATTTTTATATATACTCCAAAATGAGTTAGTCTAAATTATCTTAAACACGCTATTATCTTATCTTATTTCTCATAAAAAACTTAATTTGTCTCAATTTAATTTTGATTTAAAAAATAAATAAAACAATTTTTTTCAAATGGATTTTTCTGCAAATTTATTTAAATTAAAAATAAAAAGTTGAGAAAAAAAAGAAAAAAGAAAAAAAAACATCAAATGTCATGTTGACACCTTTAATGAGGGTGAAATAAAAATTAAAATAAACAAAATTCATATAAAAAAAGGATAATTGCATAAATTATATCTTAATTATTTATAAATATAACATTTCTGAATTTAAAAATGTTAAAAAACTCAAAAAGAAAATTTTGGTATAAAGCATATTCTATTTTATAAAAAAAAATCTATACAAAATATTTATTAAATATTAAAAAATTTTGGCAAAAAGAAAAGAAAAAACAAAAAATGTGAGGTGACTTAAATTTTGATAATTTAATTTTTATTCATACATGACAAAAATTTAAATATTAGATTCTACAACTTCGATATTTATAATATATATTTTTTTAAATAATAAAAGAAGACACTATAATTCTAATAAAAAAAGATAAAAGGATTGAGTTATGATATTCAATTTAACTTGATTTACTTAAATTATTGAAATGTTCAAATATAGAATCCAACTTAATCTATTGATTTTTTGTTAAAGATTAATATCATAGATGATTTTTAAATTATAATAAAATCTTTATTTGATATTAAATTTTAAATTTTTTTAATTTAATACATAAATTATAAATTTGTTAATTAATATAATATTTAAAAGATTATTTATTCATATTAACCAAAATATGAATGATTTTATTTAAAATTATATGACAATAACTCCTTGCCATCCATCCTCTTATTGATATATGGTTATCCCTTTTGTTTCTAAATCTAACGGTCTAAATTATAGGACCTTCAAAGCCTTACCTTAGGCATCACCATACAATAAAAATTGTCTAACATGTACTTTCACAAGGGTGGGGTTAGATGGTAGTTGTCAGACAAAAAGTCATCGTAGGGCTTTGCTTACTTTAGTTTGAGATTGAAGCCTTTTCTGTTTCCCGTTCTCAGAAACTCCATTTACCAAAAGCCAACTTCATCTCTTCATCTCTATTTCTTCTGCAGATCTCACTAAAATTCATGAAAGTCACGGGTATGCACCAAATCGGAGATCAGATGTCCTTTGCTTTAATCTTCGCCAGGCCGCTTGGATATGTTTGCAATCGGTGCAGATCAATCGAAACAATTAAATCATCAAAAACAGAGCTTGGCAGAGTCAGATCTGCAATATAAGAGAACTTTGGATTGGTTACAACAATCAAAGAGTCTCCTCTGTTTTTGTTAATTTTTCTATCATTCCTGTGGATACAAGTTGTGTCATAATTATAATCATGATGTAGGTTTGGTGCTTGGTTGTGTCTCTTTATCCTCTTATTTTAGTTTGAGGGTAGAGTTTTAATTATATTAACAAAAGTTGTAATACAATATCATGCAATACAGGTTGAAACTGGACACACAGTTATTGTTCATGCTGCAGTGGGATTGACGAGGTATCTGACTCTGTAATGGCTGTTCTATTTCCTTATTCTCCTCTTGCACAAAGCCAAGTGATGTGATTGATTTTAATTGTGTTGAGATCTTGTTCAAAATTAATTGGTATCGATTTTCTTTTCCCTGATTATTTGGTTTGCTATAGTCAACTAGTTGAATAGTTATTGGTTCTTTGTTTTAGCTTTCCTACAAGTGTGATGTTTGTTTCATGCAGTCTGATTTATGTGACCTTCTGTTCTTTCAAATTATACGGATTTTGTGTCGATAGGGTTGAGCTACTGCCCTTAGTTAACATTGCAATATTTTTCCTGTTCCAATCTAGTATTTTATCTGTTTACTTGTTAAGTGGATTATGTTTACTGGACACACACCATCAAGTAATGATTCGATGGAGCCCAGAATCTATGCTATGAGAACTTTAAGTGTGAAGTGGTTTGAAGGGAAACCAATTTCACTATTTGGGATAGAAATTGAAATGGTTTAGAACTTTCCTTTTTAGCATCGAGAAATATAATCTCTAGCAAGCCTTAATTTATTACCCACTGAACCTATTATCCTCTCTTTCTTCACCGTCAAAAGAAGTTGATAAGTGATAATGGTTTAAACTTTGTGAAGTTACTTGTTTATTTGACAGTAGTAGTTAGTTCATTGAATGGCTCTAAAATTTGTTAAAATTAGTTCATTTGTGCAATTCTCTTATCCCTATTCTTAAGTTTTATATCTTTTTCTATCAATTTTGGGTTGGAATAGATTGCTGCATCTGGGCATTTCTTAGGGATTTTCATTAACTGAAATTTGTTGGCTGTCATTTTTGTTTACCTAGTTTTTATAAACAGTTGTTCTTGTTGTAATTACTGTGGAAAAGTTTTGATTTCAAATGTGGTTTTTGAATTGAGTAAATCTTCATGAGCTCTTAGTAAAGCTGGCCATTCACATGTTATTGCTATTGACTTGGACAGATACAGTGAAAGATGCCTTGTCATGTTTGATGAACTTATCTAAATAATTAAAAATGTCAGGGTTAGGAAAGGCTAACCAGTCCAAGAATTCTTTGCAGCTGAATGATTGTAGAAGATCGTCAGAGGTTAGATACTTTTCCTATTCTTTGCCAATGTTAAATAATTGAGTTCTTACTCTTTTACTTTGTGATTAGCTTGAGTAATTTTGACCTGGCAATATTTTGATCACTTTGGATCTGGAGCTCAGGTGAATATGAAAGGCCTGCATCTGGTCTCCTCTCCATCCATGAATTCCTTTTAAGGTTAATGGATGGAAGACCCAGAAAGGGCCTTAACCTGAGATTACTTTTTCTGCCAAGCCTTTTAGAACTGTTTCTGGATCCAATGTGCAACATCAATTTCACAACAGGACTGTTGCAAATAAAATAACTAAATTGAAGTGTCCAACAACTCTTCCCGTTATAGCTCCATTACTTGCAACGATTCCTCTGCTGTTATGTCAAAAGGATCTAATGCTGCTAATCCATCTGCTATGTTCATCTATTATGCCGAATAAGACAAGGCTACAAAGGGAAATTCATGAAAGGAGGCAAGAAGGAAGGGAAAACATAAAAAGAAGCATTTGTGTGATGTTGGCTCCAAAGAGTCAGAAGTTTGTAAGAGTATACCCATGGAAGTTAAGCATCTGAAATCTGTGGTGACAATGACTTGAACTCTGGATCACATGCAATGTTACCAGAAGTTTCGCCATTCGATAGTTTGCTTAATATAATTGATTTTGCAGGCAGCAGCAATGGTATTTTTACAAGTTTTCAATCACCAAATATATACACATCTGACATTGATGAACTGGATATACCTGAATGTATTGTACCTTCTCAGGTTCAGAAGTTCCCTAGGGAGCATCATACAGATAACTCTGAAATTGTTAGCGAAGACCAATGACTTTCTATAGGTGGAGAGGAGACATCCTTCACATATGGGTTTTCTTATAGATTTACATGAGAAGGATTTCTATGATGTGCGTGATACCTAGTGTTGGACTCAGTTTCTGTTGGTTCAAACAGTGAAGACGGTATTGGTGCTGGTCATATTGTTAATCCATTTAATGACAACAGCAATGAAACCTGTCAATCAGATTTACCAGGTTCCAATACCAAGAAGGGGTCCCATTGTCAAAACTCGTTATGTATATTTCAATACCAAGAAGGGTCCTATTATCAAACCTTATTATGTAGCATTTCAGAAACCCGTGATTTTAGTGAGGGAACCCAGCATGTTCTGGCTTGTAGCACAGCTTTGATGGATGAATGGTTGCATCAGGCAAGAGTGGTAAGCAGTGTAAATCTATTCATGGAAGTTCAAGTACTTGCAAACTTGGAAGTATAGAGAACTTGCATGGTAGAACGCATCAGGCAAGAGGGGTAAGCAGTGTAAATCTATTCATGGGAGTTCAAATACTTGCAAACTTGGAAGTATAGGGAACTTGCATAGTAGAATGGGAACAGAGAACAGTCATTCTGTTTGTCAAAGGGTTCAGAGAATGCTGTAGAGTAATGCAACACTGGGTTGAATAAAACAAATCCCATTTGCTCACAGTTTGATGTTACTTTAAAAGATGATCCATTGCTGAAAAGAAATTCTAAAGCTGCCAATGTAAACCTTACCTATTACTGATGACAAGAGGAAGTTAAAAAATAAGGTTCCTAGGAATTTGAAAAGAAAAGTTAGTGCAGCTTCAAAACAAGAAAAAAACAGACATTCCAGGAAGGAGTCTCATCCCAACAAGGTAAACCTAAATGCTTATGAAAAGACTAGCATGCCAAAAAGTGAAATATTAGATGTTTAAACTTTTCAGGATGACCATGGAGTAATTTAAAATCTTTCAAGGTCTTATTCTCAGCTTGGTTGTGAGGGTTCTGACCATGAAATCTAAATCAGTTAATGACTTTGAAGTTGGTCCAAGCAGCATGGAACCATGTGAAAATGTCTGTGATACTGCTTGTGGTTTTAATAATCTAAGTATAGAGATTCAAGACAGCTTACTGCAAATGTGTCCCTTTGGACCAGTCAAATTTGCTTAGGTGAGCACTCCAGTTTTTTGAGGTTTGTGATACTGATTCCACTTCAACAAACTCTACTAATGTCATTCATCTTTCAATATTTTTAGATTTTCAGTTCTTGTTCCAAAACCAAGCATGACTGAACCAATTAGAGGTTTGAATTTGATATTAAAACATCAAAGGTGCCTAAGAGAGATCTAGATACCTATATGGTTCTTCTAATTTTGTCTTTCGTGTCTCCTTCCCCTTGGAGCAGCAGCTCCGGCAGCGGGAGGAGGTGGATTTCTGGTGTTGGGAGGAAGAGGATTTCCAGCATCATGAGCTGGATTTTGCTGTTAAGATGAGAGATTCAGCTAAAGCTTTCAAATCAAACCTAAGAACTGAAATCAAATGCTAAAAAAATACATAAGAGGAGAGATTTGGTTAAAGCTTTCGAATTCAGTTAAAGCTAGAAGAAAATAACCGTTCTTAGGTATAACAAAGTCGAAGTTCAAGCTAAAGAGATGTATTTCTTGCACTTCGACTTTGCTATACCTAAGGACGATTATTTTCTTTTAGCTTTAACCGAATTCGAAAGCTTTAACTGGATCTTTCTTTTGATGTATTTCTTTTAGCATTTGATTTGGGTTCTTTATAATTACCTTTATTTTCTTAAAGTTGTTTCATGTTTTAAAGCTCATACGTGAATATCTGTGGTTATTTGTTGCTATTTGTGGTTGACGGATAGGCTTGTTGACTGGCGTGAATAACCTATACAGAACATCACAATGGTCTTAAGCACCATAAACATGAAGCCAACTGAAGAAGATAATTGTATTTGTAAAGATCAATAGCTATTATGATGAAAGGATGCTTCATAGGTTGCCACATGTTTAATGTCAGAGCGTTGCTTCGACAATTGGAGATTGTTGCACCTGTGTCTGATAAAATATGTAAACTATATGGTTTATAGTTTGGAAAATAAAAATATCCTTCAACAAAGGTATAATGCCTTTCTTTAGGCTTGTTTGAAAATTGAACAATTTCAGGCTTTATTTTGAAATTGTTAATAAAATAAAAACTCTTAATTTCATCAACTTGAGATTTGCGAGAAGAAGAAGAGATATTAGAGTTTAAAACAGAATTTACTTATTGAAAATAAGTTTGTTGTGATTGGTTATCACTTGTGTCTCCTGTAAAAATAGGAATTTGATTACTTGTACTGTTTGTACGTGAAAATCTTGTACTTCTAATGCCGGAGGGAGTTTGAAATCCTGCAAAATAATTTCTTTGTAGAGTATAAAAAATTGATTACTAGTTATAATATGTGTCTTCATTGTCTTGTTGTTAAAAAACATTTAAAGGGGGTAACTAGATTTGAATTAAAATTGGTTGATTTGTTTGGATTTTTAAAATAAAAGTTTTTGCTTTAAGAGAAATTTTAAAGTTGAAAATTTTTGTTTTTCAAAAGCTTTTTCAAAAATATTTTCAAGGCATCATTTTTTTGGGATAGATAGATCTTTTAGCTTTTTCTTAAGAACTTAAATCAAATGTTAAAAGAAATATATCTTTTTAGTTTGAATTTCAATTCTGTTATACTTGAAGACGGTTGGGGTAGTCTGTGGATTGGTGACAATATAGGTCGATAAACCGCTTTGCATTCATGATTTTATTGCTACATCTGGGGCACTTTTAGGTCATTGTAGCTGGTTTTGCAGTATGTTCGAGTTGAGGGCTTGTCTCTCTTTGTACAAATGGTTTACAATTTCATTACTTAGGTTCATGAAGTTAAATAGTGGGCTTAAAAGCCCTATTAATCTTGGCAGAAAAGGAATAAAAAAGATATAATATTACTTTGATAAAAAATAAAAAACAGTTAGAAATTATTTGAATCAGGGTATTTATTGTATTTATATTATTATTTTTTAAATTTTAATAAAATAAAAAATATATTTTACTTATAAAATTATGTCAATACATTTAAAGAAATATTAGAAAATAAATGTAAAATTTAAAAATTAAAAAATCAAATCAATGTGGATGTTAAAATTTGATTTGGATCAATTTAATATCTATTTGATTTAATCTAATAACTTAAATATTGTAAATTAATCAATTTTTTGTTCTTTAGATCATATTAATATTAAATCTCATTTAACTTCTTTATATCGTGGTTTAAATAAATTTAAATTTAAATAAATTATCTTTTACATTATATTAATCTTAATCTTTATAATTTATTATCAAACTTAATTCAATTATTTTTTGGTTATTTTTTGTACATAAAAAAATTACAACTTGAAAATAAGGCAAAATAATTACATGCCTTGAAATGTAATACTACATGTTGATTAATTATTAACTATTGTTATGTAAATGGTAAACTAATAGCAAGACAATGGTAATACACTTCTTCATATATTGAGTTCTAAATAGTAACCACGACATGAAGAAGTTAAATGAAATTTAATATTAATATGATTTAAAGAACAAAAAATTAATTAATTTATAATATTTAAGTTATTAGATTAAAGCAAATAGATATTAAATTGATCCAAATCAAATTTTAACATCCACATTGATTTGATTTTTCAATTTTTAATTTTTAAATTTATTTTTTAATATTCCTTTAAATGTATTGATATGATTTTATAAGTGAAATATATTTTTTATTTTATTAAAATTTAAAAAATAATAATACAATACAATAAATGCCCTGATTTAGATAATTTCAATTGTTTTTTATTTTTTATCAAAGTAATATTATATCTTTTTTATTCTTTTTCTGTCAAGGTTAATAGGGCTCTAAGCCCATTATTTAACTTCATGAACCCTTCCCCTGTTGGAAGGTCTAAGTAATGAAATTATAAACCATTTGTACAAAGAGATATAAGCCTCCCAACTCAGAAAAGGAACAATCATGTTGCAAAACCAGCTACAATGACTTGGAAGTGCTCCAAATGTAGCAATAAAATCAGGAATGCAAAGCGATTTGTCGACCTATATCGTCACCAATCCACAGACTGTCCTAACCGTTTTCAAGTATAGCAGAATCGAAATTTAAACTAAAGAGATATATTTCTTTTAACATTTGATTTAGGTTCTTAAGAAAAAACTAAAAGATCTATCTATCCCAAAAGAATAGTGCTTGAAAATATTTTTGAAAAAACTTCTGAAAAACAAAAAGTTTCAACTTTAGAAATTTTCTCTTAAAGCAAAAACTTTTATTTTAAAAATCCAAATAAATCAACCAGTTTTAATTCAAATCTAGTTTTATTCCCTTTAAATGTTTTTTAACAAGAAGACAATGAAGACACATATTATAACTAGTAATCAATTTTTTTATATTCCATAAAAAAATTATTTTCCAGGATTTCAAACTTCCTCTGGCATTGGAAGTGCAAGATTTTTACGTACAAACAGTACAGGTAATCAAATTTTTATTTTTATAGGAGACACAAGTGATAACCAATCACAACAAACTTATTTTCAATAAGTAAATTCTGTTTTAAACTCTAATATCTCTTTTTCTTTTCGCAAATCTCAAGTTGATGAAATTAAGAGTTTTCATTTTATTAACAATTTCAAAATAAATACTGAAATTGTTCAGTTTTCAAACAAGCTTAAAGAAAAGCATTATACAGATAACCAAAATTTTATGTCTCACAAAAAATTATACATTTTTCAATTACCTTCTCCTAGTTTATGGACAAAAATGGAGATTGAATCAAACCATCCTTCGATTTCTAGAACCAAACAATTTGGAGGAAGTGGAGAAGTAAAAAACATCGAATGCACCCATTGAAGTAGCTTAGGAAGTTTAATAATCTCTTTTGTTAGAAGATTAAAGAGAAATGAGTGTGCCTTATCTGGAGTCATTAGTAGCCAGCCGCACTTTGAAAAGCAGATTTCAACACCTAATACTTTTACAGGAAGGTCCAATTCGTAAGTGTAATTATGCATAGGGTAAAAAAATTGACTTTTATCAGTATTACCTTTGAGGATTCAGAACAATCATGAAAATGGAGAATTTACATTATGATCGAATAGAGAAGGAAGTGTATGTGGTGGAGTAATGGGGATTGGTCACTATGCTTTGCAAATTGCACAAAAAATTGTTTTGTCCTCTACAAAGAGATTTGATGGTATCAAACTTAAAATATCTAGTGGAAAACTACTCCACACATCCTGATCGTCGTCCACTTGATACTTTTTGGATGGTATCAAATCTTTATTTTATATAGTTGCTGTGGCATTTACAAAAAAGTTAACGAAAAATTTGATTGCAATATAAATTCATAAATATCTTAAGAAAAATCTAAAAATTCATTTAATATTTAATTAGCTAAGTATACAAAATATAGTTCTTTTTACTATAAATTCCAAATTTAAGATTTTTTATATTAAAATTTTTCACAAAATTTCAAATATTAGAAAAGCAATTTACAGTAAAAGCACCTAAAGTATTTGTGTTAAATAGAGAATCAACTGTCAAGGGAGATCATTCCTGGGCATTAGGTTAAGCTTTGCACCACCGATTAATGTTATCTCCACTAATTAATGTTTTCATCAATTAATGTTTCACCGCATGTTTTTACTCTTTTTTTTTTTTTTTTTTTGAAATTCCAATAGCAGAGAAGAAGAAAAATAAATAAATGTCTTCGATGGGCAACATCAGGAGCTCGCTAGATTTCCTCTTTATTTATAATAAATTATAATGTAAGCCTCGGCCAGCCCCTACTGCTTTTGCAGCCATACTATACATCAGCAAGTATAACAAAACAAAGCTCTTAAGGTAACTAAATTTTAGTTAACTAGCTATCTCAATTAAATTTGCATAATTAGTATATCGATTTAGTAAAATTTTCTTTTACAGGTAAAGTGGAAACTGAGAAATTAATAAAAAAGAAGAAGAAAAAACTAAAAGCTATACCAAGCATAAACTTCTAATGAAACATAAAAGCAAGATGTAAGTTTTTTTTTCATATTTTATCAATTGACATGAAAAAATAATAACATTAATTTCATTTCCCAATAGTGCAAATCAAGCGCAGAAAGAAAATTAGGGTTAATAGTGATCATATTTAATAAGTAAGAAAGCTATATAATAAATTGCTTCTCTTCTTAAAAACGAAATACCTTTAATCTCTCTTTTGCTGCCTTAATTAATTTTATTCATCATTACCAAAAAAAATAGAATATATATATATATATGTAAATTTATTTATGTATGTGAGGTTATTATCGGGTTTTGGACAACTAATTAATTAGAATTCTTGTTGGATTTAAATTTATAATTACAATAGCAATAGGTATTATTAATTGTAAGCCAAAGATACTTCTTACCATATTAGGATTAATATAATTATAATTAATATAACAATTATATTTATTAGCTTTTGAAATTAATTATTACATTAGAAGAATTTTTTGGTCGCTTTTGAAAGGATTATAAATTAATTTATTACTTATATATCTTTCGACCAAATATCTAATTAGCGATATATCTATATATTTCACCCTTAATTAGATTATTAAGCTAAGTACAAAAACTTTTCATCTAACTATAAAAAAAATTAAAAACCTGTAAGCAAAATGGGTGTTGCATGAGATTAATTGAATTGTTAAAGGTGAAATATTTCAATTATAAAATATAAATTTGATTTTTTTAACAGTATTTGCTTGAGTAAATAAACTTTTTATTGCAAGATGCACTGCAAAGGCTTGTAAATTGAAGTGTTTTGTACATAGCAGATCACTGTTTCATGCTCCCATTTTAACTTTACATGTCATCCTTCAAAATTGGATTCTCTGACGATGAGATATAAATTGATAACAATTATCATATGAAAATACAACAGTAGATAATTTGATAATTTTAATAATGATATTTATATTTTATTTTGTTAAATCATGAACAACTATGAGACAACCTTCAAATTTTTTTAAGGCCCTCTATATTGTTAACTTATCATGTTGTATTACATTCACTAATGAATTGGCTTAATTATCATAAGTCATAACGATGCTCAAATCAGTACAGAACCTTCTTAGGGTCACAGATAGGAAAGCTTACACCAAGAAAAGTAATAAGATTGCTAGTTAGACTCTAAGATTATTTCCAGATGACAGGATACTGTGGAGAGATTTGACTTAACCTTTGTTACGAGAGATCGTGACCATATAGAATCAGCAACGTGATACAAAGTAGGACAATCTTACCATCTATAGCTCTATCACCACCATCACCCATTTCAATACCTCGTGCCAAATACCTTCACAAATATCAGCAAAGTTTGATATTTAAAACTCTAGTAAGTGTACAGCTTCTTTGAGAAAAGATAAATCTTAAAAGATTTCCTA